TGCTCCTAACATGTTGCTTTGTGTTTAGCCAGCCCCTGAGCTGATGTGGACAGAGTAAGTTCCCCATCGTTGCTCAAGCGATAATGCCATTCAACTGAGTAAGAATACACATGGCAATATCCAAACACAGCTATGCTTCTTCTAGTCAAATAATTATCAGTAAAGGGACAAGCACAGCCCTTTTTCCACAAAGCCTGAATAAATGAGCATTGTGCAGGAAATTCAGAGGAGACTTGAAGGGAAATAAATTCTGCAGTTAATCATTCATCTTGCAGTGACTGCTGAGCAGCTCTCCTGCCCATTGTAAAGCCTTTCAGCTGTCGTAATTACTACATGGTGTTAGACCCATGAGTCTGTACTGCTCTAGTTTTGCTGGTCATGTCCCTGGCTTGCACCGCTCGACTGAATTTTCCCTAGTCCCACTACGTGGGGAAAGGCACCAAGGATTACCTTGCTACAGCATGTATGAATATCCTGTCTATATCAAGACTTGTACCTCTTCCTTTTTTCTCCTTCCTCACAGCTTGCTGTGTTCAACACCTAGCAAGACATTTCCCTTTAGGATATTATCATGAACAAGCAAAGATTAGCTACAGAAACTGCGTGCATGACAAGAGCACTATACAAGTGAATATTACCTCAGCAACATGAACTTAATTATTTTGATAACACTGGAAAGGTTATTTCTCCATTTTTGAAGAGACAAGCTCTGTCTTTTTAAAGGCAAAACTTATATCCATAACTAGAAAGCTTTGGTCTGCTCTTCAATACAGTATATAAAAGGTTTATGGATTTCATCAAAACTGATTAGTTTATTGTCTAGACCACAGATTATTTTTCATAAGACTTCTTGTCATATCTGTGAGCAATTCTTGTAATGATGGATGAGACTGGTGCCTTAAAATCATCATTTGCTCTGTCAGCAGGGAAACCCACTGAACCCTGTCAAATAGAATATCACCTCATCCCCTGTAGCCTTATAATGTAAGGGCATAATCCATTCTCACAGGGGTATACAGGAGTCCAGGACTGAACCTACACATAACTAAAAGATTGTTATTTGGGGGAAGAATATGAATTATACAGTTATTACAGGAGTTTTAAACTTTTGCTTGGATAAGCTGAAATTGCTATTGAAACATTGTACCAACCACAGGCTTTGACATTCAAATCAAAGCCTGGTGATTTTGGCCCTTTTGAGGAATGGCATTTCTAGAAAAGGTGTCTGTCATTGTTAGTTTTATTCTCTCATAAAATGAGAAGTATGGATCCTGTAAAGGCGTAAGTGTCAAGTAAAATCTATGCTTGGTTTGAGAAGAAGTGAAATTATATACCTTCTGTAATTTCAGGCCAAGTGTTAGAGCCTAGCATGCCATACACACAATACTACACACACAAATAAATCACAGGTTATATATGTATGGCCCTTAAAACACATTTTTCCTGCAGTTATAGAGAGACAAGTAGTCCAGCTGTACATGTGGTGAGAAAATCAACTCCATGTAATCATTCCCTTCTGCAGTAAAATTAAAGACACTTACAGTAATGGACTAGGTAGAACTAGGAGTAAACCACAGTCAAAGGTATCAACAATTTTCACTTTCACCATTTATCACTTAGAAAAATCTGTTTACTGCTTGTATATCCTTCTATATGATTTCAGACAAAAAAAAAATTAAATATGCTGCTTCACATTGCATTTTTAACAGTTAATTGCTGCATAAATACTCAGCATAAAGAAAAGAACAGGCATTTTATAAAATTGGAATCGTTCTGAAATATTCAGTTGCCTCTTTATTTGCATTTCTTATGCAGCAGATAGATCTGAAAGACCTACTCTGAAGTAACTCTCTCTAAAAGAAGGCAAAGTTAAATTTGCCTAGAAAGGGTCTGAACCAGAAGTTTAAACTCATCACTTTGAAGGCAATAGAACTGACATTTATTGCTCTGTCAAGCCAAACTACAGCCCCACCTCTGGATAACTAAAGACTATGTGGCAGATAGATGCTTTAAGAGCCTTCCCCGGAGCCTTCCAGTGCATATAGTGTTGTCTGTTTAGATGATAAACTCCTGGAAAGGCCTGGACTGGTACATTTTTCTGTGTTTTGTGCAGCTCTACTATTTATGATGTTTAAAATGATTGTCACGGTTAATCCATAGATAAACCAGCCTAAGGAAGCCAATGTTGCCTGCTCTGCAAGAGCAGGGCCTCAAATGTGGCATAAATACCATTTGCTCCCCGTTATTTACAGTGCCTATTATGGTTCCCCAGGGAGCCATGCGCCCAACACCTAATTCATAGGTCACGCAGGGGAGATGAGCACTGGCTTTATTGGACTGTGAATTAGGCCACTGATACCTAACACTCCCAAAGCCTGCAGGCTGATGTTATGAATGTGTATATATACATCTCCGTGCCTCCCACAACACCTACCTGTGATTGAACATCGGTAAACCCCTGCCAACTTCCTGACCAACACCAGCAGCAGAATCAGCCAGAACACTGCATTTTGCAATAGTGCTGAATGTCCATCAGTGTGCTGTTTCCATTCCAGTTATCACCCTGCTTGCTTTATTTGTAGAAAAATTGCCCCCTTTATATCATGTCATACAAACTTCAACTCTTGCAATGTTAAAATCCAGTATGGACTAATGTATCACAAACTATTAAATGACATCACATTAATGTGACTTTCCCTGTCTACTGTTTTCACAGTAATTAAAGAAATATTGACTTTTTCAATGAAAAAAACCCACCCGAAAAAATAAAAAAATATCTAGGTCATTGCTGACAGAAAGAGTAAATTTATTTTTAGTATGCCAATGATGTTTTTCTATTTAATTTGATGGTATGAAAGGACATCTAATGACACAGAGCCATTGTACATACCAAGCCACATGTGCCTGTGGGCAGTGCACCAACAAATTGCATGGTCATTGTTACAACGCTGTAGACACTAATTTATGACTATAGGACTTTAATATAAATTGGTAGAAAATTTCTGAAAGATGAATGGCATTAGCTAAGTTTCACCTTTTGATAAATGTATATGGTTCCTGTTATTTGGTATTTATACTTACATAACATGACCTTCAAACAACTTTAACTGGGAAGCAGAAACCTAGCTCTACCATCTAACTGTCTGGAGTAATCATCCCATCTGTAAAGCCTTCTTTGGGCAAGGGTCTTCCTTCCCATTTGTGGTCAAAAGGACATGGAAGCACAGAGAAAAACAAATACGAAGGGGTAGAGAACAAGAAAGAGACTTGCCACAGGGGATACAGGTAATATGTATTGTACTGCCTCTTAGGACAGTGAATTCCTAGCAGGGCCCATGCTGGTACCTTTTTTGGTGCTTTCTATAGCACTAAATCTTACTTCACATATTCAGAAATTATAACTGTGATAAAATATGTAGACAAAATCCCTTAAGAAATTCAGCGAAACTTGCCCTGTTGGTGCAGAACACTACACTTCCACCTATCTCAAGACACAGCTTGAATTCTGAATTAATTTCAAATGAAAATAAAACTGTCTAATTCTCATCCCTGATGTTCCACCTTACAAAACATTTACTCATTCAGTAGTCTTTACTCATGAATTACAGTAGCAGGTATTACAATCAATACTGAATACCTAGCAAACCTATTTAAGAAAGTTTCTACAACACTTAAAAGGCTTAACATCTCTGTTTTAATCAGTCAAAAATGTAATAATCTCTGGTTTTCTGAGTAGTAAAATCAATTCACATTACATTATGTGTATATACGCTTGCATAAAAAAAAAATTCAAATTAATAAAGGAGCATCACTCTCACACTGCACTGAATTGTGTATCATGAACACTTCCAACAGTCCACATTCGTTTGTTTTATCTCTTTTTCACAAAGAAACTAATTTGAGCCCAGAGCTTCATCAGATGCTTAATACCCTGGCTAGGTTGTTCTAATAGAGCTAGAAAAAAAGAACAATTTATTGTGTCATGCTTTGAGTTCCGTAATATTCACTTTCTAAAAGAGGATAACAAACTTCTAAACATTTCACAACAAACGTAAGTATATTTTCAGGCCTTACTCAACAGGGATATTCTATACGCTCCAGACATGTCAAGCAAAATTTAGTATTAAATTTTATCTTTTAATGATTTAAGTCTACTGGACATGTACAGAGTACTCAAGGTTGAGAGCATGCCCTCTTTCCCACTGAGCATGAAGAGGTGAACACAGAACTTCTAAGGCTAAATTGTAATTCTCTAGCATCAGCTCTGTATCTTTGGCCTTAAAATATGATGCCAGAACTACTTTAAACAACAAGATGAGGATTCCCCAGCATCAGCCAGGAATGTCAGCTTGTCTCTGGGATGAAGGATGTGTGTGGAGTCAGCTAGGAGCAGGCAGTAAAAGTAAATGGGAAAAAGGGTCAGGGCAGAGATGCATAAGTGCTTGCTGATTTCAGCGAATATAAGTCTCCACAGGACCAGTTCACCTGGTTTCAAAATTGGAACAGCTGGAACCCCCCGCCTTGTAGAAAGGTCCAGTTCAGCTCTTTACTGCTACCCAAGTCAAGCGAGGTATATACCCAACAAATGATTACACCTGCCTACTTGATGTATGAGCATGGAGAGGTCCACTCTAAAGAATTACTTAAAAAGAAGTATCAGATCTTCCAATCCCATTCAAAATTACTTCATGGAGTGTAAAAAAATCAAAAGAAAAGGATGAAACAGATGTGTGACGAAACACGTAATCACAGAGAGAACTGTCAGGATGCAAATGGACACATTAAAGTTTTATCTTGTTCTATTACTCTAGTGAGTTTTTCAATTCTTTTAACTAGCCTCATCTTTACCACATTTCAAATGGAAGGGCCACCACATGCTATTGATACTAAGGAAAGCTCAGAGATTTCTAAAGAGCCATCTTCATAAAAATACATACGTGAAGTACTTACTTAAACAAACTACAGCCTCTTGAAAGATATTAATTGAGAAATATAACTACCTGTTGTCTCCAAGGGCAGGATCCTTTGGTTTAGCATCGCTATCATAAACAAAACGTGCTTGGGAGATCACTATGACATTGTCCGTAGTTTCATTGCCCAAGATAGTGATAACAGGATAACCCATCTGTAGTGTCCACTGATCCATTACTTCTTGGATATTTACTGATTTTCCAACCCTTTTTAAAGCCTTCAAGAAAAAAGAAAAGTTTCAGTATGTTGAAGCAATACCATTATTCCAGAGACCATAATTAGTTTGAGAGGTTTAAATAACTATCATGCATGCACATACATACATTTACACTCAGTACACACATATAATTTAACCAACAGTCTCTGTATATCTTAAAAATAAACACTGAGCAATTTTGCCAGAGAGGAGAGTGACAGTCAGAAAGTCAGGTTTCCTACATCATTCATGTACTTTTGCTCTAACAGAAGAAACAACCTGCTTTACAGGGTTTTAACAAGAGCCACACACTGAGTGTCTGCCTCTAAAAGGTATTCTTGACCAACTAAGGCTGAAAAAGACACAGTGTTAATTAATCTAGTGTACCTACAATAAGACATATTCAAAGGGACTGATTTCTAAAATCTACGGAGCTTCTCTGTTCTGAAAATCAAATGACTAGTTATTTGAAAATACTGTCCCTCATGTCCAAAGTGAGGCAATGAACACAAACATATCCCCAGCTCCTTCATAAACTGCACCTGTCATAACACACAGCAGATTAATGTGTTCATATTTGACACCATATGTCAATAAAAATGCTGGCTTATAAGTGGATTTCCTCTGAAACAAAAAGAGATACTGTGACATCATGGGGGATAAGACTGGGTATGAGAAGAATGATAGGCATCATTTGTTCTTCAGCAACAGAAATGTCCCTAGCTGCCAAACAGTCCTAGATAACAAACTGAGCAACCTCTGATGAATACAAGCAGAACCCAGCAAGTCTTCAGAACTGAAGCTGCAATTGTAATGCATTAGCAACAAAGCAGCTGGCAACAAACTTGCTTACAGGTGAGGCAAACAGAATTATTAGCCTTAACAATAGCACACCGTATAGCCGTAGTGGTTATAGACCAGAATACAGTCTCGTTTTTCTTCTGTTTTATTAGCTGTGGGTTATGCTGTTCTTTAAAGATTACGTTCATCCCTCTGACCTCCCAGCGCCCAGAACTGTCCTAAAGGCTTTAACGGAGGAAGACACCAGATGAGAAAACAGACTTTTGCAGTGACATTCAACTTCAGATCAAGACAGAATTAAGAGCCTGACTGCACGTTAACGTCTCAACCCTCATTAACAGTCAGTACAGACATAGGACTCAGTTCAGTTGCCCAGACATAGATGGCTAATGTCATTTGACCTGGACCTGCCACTCTACAGACCTTGCATGAAATAAATTAGACCCACCTGAATGTCCTGAACACACTGCTTCACCTAAGCTGGCACTAGTTGCCTATATCTGAACAACTATCTCAAGTCCCTAGTCAACAGTCTGCTTTGGGCTCATTTTAAAATAATCATGTAGTGGCTAGTCAACTGAACTACTCTCTATGCTCTGCTGACTATTGACTGGATTTCTGGGACTCCAGTTGTTCCTATTCACCAAGTGTCAAATGAGTTGTCCTAAAATATTCAACACATCCTGGCAGAACCAGTGGACCTAGAGCAGACATATTTATCTCATTCGGGAGTTGGAAGCCACGTAGGATAAATTAAGGTAAATGCTGTTAGACATCTGTGAACATTAAACTGAATCCAGCCCTCACTGCCAATTGGAGCTTGGACACCTATCTTATATGTATATACCTGCTTATCTAGATAAATGAAGATGTCTTGAACTCCAGCTGAACCCCAGATTTGGTGTCAAGAGTTACAAGTAGATTACCACATTTACACATGGCTTGACTTGGTACTTGTGCCAAACTCCCTGACTACCCTACACTGGCTTTTACTGTCTTTATTCTGGTGTGGCCAGACTAGCTCTGTGGGCAAGAAATTCAGGCATGTTTGGCCCACTTTATAAAAATTAAACTCTGCCCTTACAGATCCCTGGACCAGGCTCTAGAAACTCAAGCTGAGCTTGGGTATAGCAACCCTAAGTCTCTACAGCATGCCAAATGATAAAATAAATAGCTATCTGTTTACACCAGACTTTAAATCTTTAATAGTTTCATCTTTCACACAAATCATAATGCCATACAAAATCACAAACACACCTGATGTAAATGCCAAAGCTCAGCAATTTCATAGGCTTTCCATCTTATGGGCCTAAGCATGCTGCCACTAAAGTCAATGACAGCAGATTCCATGAAGTATCTTTTAATGCACATCAGTGACACAGCACAAGCAAGGAAATATATTCTAATATAACAAAGTATAGAAATGCTGCAAAAAAAACATATTTTAATGTTGCCACTAGGTTAACTCAAATGGATTTTCTTCGCATCAATTTTTATATTTGCTCTGGGGTCTGAAGGTTTCAATATGCACTGTTCACTCCTAACCTCACCAAGAAAAATACCACAGTAAATTCCTGCTTCTCCCTCAGTGAAAGAGATTAAAGCCTTTTACCTTTGACAATGTGTTCCAGAGATCATTTCTGGCTGCATTGCCATACTTGTGAATGGTTAAATAGTCCTACAGAAATAAAATAAAAATACAAATCAGTATTACTATACACCAGCCAAACAACGAGAGCTGTGAATCACTGCTATTAGTAGTTAAATCACATCAATGTTTGCATTTGTCAGAAATCTAGAATTATACAGTATGTTCATCCTATAGGAGTAAATAAACAGTTTCTTAAGCTAGTTTACAATGCAAAAAATGTTGCTAAAATTTTCATTTATAGCATTCAATACTCTCCCTTTTCTGTATAAGTCACTCAATAAGCTAAATTTTGAATATACATTTACAAAACATATGTGGTCAGAGTCTGAGGAGGTTATAGACTGAATGCTTTCACTTATTCAGCCATAGTTTCAATGACTGAGGGTTCATTCTTCTCCCACAGCAGCCATAAAGATAATTCCTGCTAAGATATCATCATATTAAACAAACTTCCCAAATTAAGAGTTTAAGCATATGACCAGGTGAGGTGCCTTTCATGCACAAAACTCTTCCAATTTTTAATGACATCTGGAGAGACAACACTGTTAGTTTCCCACCGTCCTATGTCCCTAGACACCAGCTCATTTAATTACAGAAGTGAAATTCAGCCACAATTATTTGAGTAACATACATTTCAAGCATTTTGATTGGAAGAGTTAAGTGAATAAAACACATCAGAGGTTGGAAATCAATGGGTTCTCCTGCATTTGAATTTCTACCATCTTCACTTTACACAGTGGTAGGAGACAAACCCTAATTTACAGCACAATGATAAAACTGGGACAAATGTGCTGACTCTGTTATCTGTGCTTTGTGTGAAGTAAGATACTTTGGGAATAATTAGTATGCGAAAAGCAAATTTTCTGATATACAAATCGTAGCACCTGTGACAGATTTAGCTTTTGTCAGCCAACGCATAGTACAACAAGCAGCAACTCCCATTTAATCACAGGCTAGGAAGGCTAAATGTGAACACTGACTCTGTAAATGCAGTGCCGAGTCTTAACAATGTCATGAGACTAACTTGGAAAAAAGGCAGTATTATATAGGCTGCACCTATAGCACATTGTGCTTCCATTTTGTCTAAAAATACAGAATCATTTAAGTCACAGTGAAATACTCAATAGCTTTCAAAGCTAAAGAAGTTGAATTGCAAATTAAAAAGCTGAAATAGGAATAAACAAAAGTGGGACAATGTAAATAAATAAAAACAAATATGCATGTGCATTCTAAGCAGTACTAGCAAATGCTGTATGCACTGGTCCTTCTGAAAGTTGCTTTCAGAATCATTACATAGCAAAATAAAAAGGGTGGATTTACTCCATCCAAGCAATAATCCTGTTTACCAATCTACCATTAGACATTAAATTTGACTTTTACATTTTGCATTCAGAAAGACTGCAAAGAGATTAAATGCTTCTGCCTTTTACTTTGTTGTTTGGGATTTTTTTTTCCCCCAGTACACAGGTTGGGACATTTAGATGTGGCTCATCACTTGGTTGAAATTTATTATCCTCCAGTCTAACATGTTTATCACACGAAGGAAAACAAAAGGAATCCTAACAATTACAATGGAATAAGAAAATACAATGACAAACACAACATATGAGTACAGTCCTGGTACCATGCAACTTCAACAACTATTTTTCATTATTTCATGAACGTTGCATTGAGTTCATATGCACAGAATTAAACTAGGAGTGTTACTGAATGCATACTACACCAAAAGCAGTACTAAGTGATAGTGTGTATCAAAACATGCTTCCAGTAGTAAATGTACTACACTGCAGTCCAAATTCTGAATGCACTTTCTACGGGCACAAGAGCAAAAGGTTACTGAACCAGGCCCCATCAAACATCCTCATGTATGAGTATCCTGTTTTCAACAATAACCAGTAGCAGACACCTAGAAAGGTTATAAACCAGGACAAACGTGATACAGTGATACTTTCCCAGTATGCTCTCCCATCATCCAGCACTTCACGGCACAAAGAATCCTGAGCAGATTAGTATCTTTGTATTTAATAGTTATCGTCTGTGAATTTGGCCAGTTGCTTTCTGAACCCATATAAATGTTTAGCAGCACCGTACAAAAAAGCATTTCCCACTCCTGTGATCCGTTGTGTGAAGACACCTGCTTCCAACATCTGCCCATCTGCATGTTTCATCTGCTGCTCTCTAGTTCTGGCACTAGAAAACACGGTGCATTACTGTTCCCTCCTTCGCTCTCCCCAGACCATTCACAGTTTTACAGATTTGTATCCTATGTGTCCCCATGCCATAGCTTGGGTTTACACTGAGAACACCGCCAGACCCCACCACCCCCAGCTATGCTGCAAAGTTACTTTTTGTTACCAGCATCCAAGCTGTTGACTTCAAAGCTAGATAGGCTTACCACAACCCAGACTGAATTTTCCTTATCAAATTACCAGCCTTTCTTGAAGTACCTTTCATGGACAGGCACTCAAAAAGGAAGACGAAAGGCTTATACATATCAACATCCCAGGAAGTATTAAATAGGAGCCAAAGATCTATACATACCCTGTTTGTCTGCTCTAAGGATGGAACAAGCAGGAATATAATCCATTTTTCCTCCTGGGGACCTGTATCTAAGTCTTAAGTAGCTTGCAAAGGGGCAGAAGACATGTTCTCATACACTGTAATCCTCCAGGGCAGGAGTATTAGCCATCCCTTTGCCTTTACATTGAACAGAAAAAAAAGCAAAGCAAACAGAGGAGAAATGCAAGCCACAGAACAGAAAAGGAGGATGACACCGAAAACACAGCTGCCTGAATCTAAGCTGTGCTCAACGCAGCTCCAAAGGAGGTAAAGTGACTTAAAGCCACTTCCTCATAAACACATATGCCCAGAACCATCTGGCTGCGAGGCTGCTTCCCATCAGCAACTCACAAGTCTACCACCTACAAAAGCTGTTCCATCAACTGGAGTATGCTGGAGCATGAAGATAATGCTTTAGCCACCTTCGTAACTTTCAGCTATAACCCTGTGGCATGTGTGAGGAGAGATGATGGCATAAAAAAGTCTGTAACAACCCAAGACTCAAGAGCGCTCTTCTACAACTCCCCCCTTCTCCTTCACTGTAATGCCGCCTCTAAACTACTCCTTTGTCACAGGGAAAGTAGAAGGAGAGTTCACAGACTCTCGTGCAGTGTCACTCAACATTAAAACTAATCAAACACATACACAAAATTATCATTTCAGTTTACATTTTCAGCAACCATCTTCTTGTAATACTCTTCTTAACATCTTGGTATTAAAACATGAAGCAAATCATTGCCAAAAAGAATAACAAAATATGATCCCTTCACCTCTATCAATTAAAACAAAAAATTATTCAGACAATGTGGTTTTCTGATATGGGTTTTAGTAATTTTTAACATCAATTTAAAAAAAAAAAAAAATCCAGAATCTCTGACACCATGAAAACAAAGTCCAACTACTGCAAAACCAAGACCTAAGGTGCTGCAAAAAATCCCAACAGATTTAGACTATACTATCATGTTTTGTCAAATAGTAATCTAATCCCCCCCAAAAAAATAAGGCTCAATGCTTTGAATAATCAATACTTGAATAATGAAGCAGATAGCTCAAACCGTAGTAGAAATAGGAGTGCAGTGAAAAGTGCTAAAGGATTTTGAAAGATGTTTTTAGTAATGCTGTATTGATTAAGCTTGCAGGCTTTTTATTGTATTAGACTTTTTTAAGAAAAGGAGATCATTTAAAAGGAAAAAGTCTTTTATCTCTTTGCAATCTTAGTTCTCTCAGTACCGCTAGGGATTGAGCCTCTTGGTTTTGAAAAAATTAACTACTCCACCATCCAAAGATGATAACGCTCACAAGTAATAAAAGGTAGTGACTGATAAGTGCAAAGAGGTTAAACAAGTGTAAAGGGGGAATAAACCTCCAAACATGTATCTTACTTTAAGGGGAGACTCTCAGATCTATAACCACGAACTGAAACATCAATTCTAGGACCAAACTCCTTTCTCAGTTTATCTGTATGAAGTTGATTGGTTGGTTGAAGGAACAGCGTCCAGTTTATATGAGTGGGGTTGAGATCTGAAACAGATTAACACCGAATAACTACTTTTTTTTTTTCCTCCTAAAGATAACTGGGAAATTCCACTATACGAGTGAGGAAAAGTAGCAAAATATTTTGGCATCAAATTCTTGTGTCTATGTTCCTCTGAATGCCCTCATTTCTCAGGGCACAGGAAACAGCAGTCTTGCCTCCACCTCTCTCTTTCATATTTAATTCCTGCTCCTGGGTGCACATCCTCCTCCCTTCAGCCTACAATATATTCTGGTTGAACAGTTTTATACATGACTGCTGTATCTCACCAAAGACTTAAAGCTACAAACAGAAACATTTAGTTCAGGTGGAAATCAGGCTCTAAGGCTCTGGCTATCAAATCCAGCATTTTTGTTTTCCCAGAAATTTGTACACTTAACCTTAAGCCACCAGACACCATCTGACAGATGCTGACTTGCTGACTACAACATGTCACCTTTTTCCGCCCTTTGTTTCACACCGCAAACATCAAAGCTGCTATTGCATATTATCCTAACACTGCCTAACATTCAAAAAAAAATAAAAGCTTGGGTAAGGGTCAGAGGGAGGAAGGTGATATGTATGTTTGCAATGGTAAGTGGCAAACAAGGGAGTGAGAAGTAGTGGGAAAGCACTACCAGCAACTTACAAAGAAGTGAAGATCCCTCCTGAGCAGTAAAGCTAAAATAGCCAATTAGTTTTGCAGTATTTTTCAGCTATAAGGCAGACTAACCCTTGAGAAAGCGCCTTAAGGAAGAGAAGTGATCACCCTCCCAGCTGGGCGATCAGACAAGTAGCAAAATAGAAACTACAGAGTATGTAAATTCACCTTATTGGTCATGGTAAACACTGTATAAGGCAAATTAGATGGGGGTTAACTCTGTGTCAGAATCAATTTGTACCAGTGAGTCAAGCTGCAGAGCTACATCCAAATTGAAAGAACAGCTGTGATCAG